TTCTTCACAGACATGCTAATATTGAATTTACATACTTAAGATTTTGAAGAATATAAGAAGGTATTGCTAATTTTTTATAAAGATATTTGAAATGACTATGTATATATAATCACTTCAATTTTGGAGCAAATTTTAATTCATTTTGTTAATTCAGCTATTTATCAAAATTTTATAAAGTCAGCTATTTTCACAATACAGATAATTCATGTTATTTACTTGTTCTATTTTGTCCATAGATAGAAACAAGCAACATTACATATTAAAATAGAAACCAAATTGTTATTTTAGCAAATCTTATCCCTATCAACAAAGAATTCTTTAAAGAGATGGCATAGGCCACAGCCAAATCTTATTTATTTGTATAGCTGAAGGACATTTCAGGATTAAAAACATAATTTCATTTCTTCCTTATTTTATTTCTATCATATTTCATTACTGTGTAGATCACACATTAAGTTCCAAAATGTAAAACTGATTCCTTATTCTTTCTTATGATGTTATCTATACATTTGGTTTCTAATCCTTAGTATTTTTATAGGTGATGCTCACTTCATTTAAACAAAACATAAATTAATTTTAATAGTTCCATGAAAAGAAAAATCATCTTGAAAAAATAAAAAATACAGGAAAACATATTATAATATCTTTGGAATTACAAGTATTTACAGTGGATCTTTAGTCTGAGAAATTGTATAGACTATGCATTTTATTAGTAATACTATGCCAACAAAGTTCAAATTTTCTATGTGTTGGGGAGGATTTTATAGTGTTGCATAAATGGAAAGTAGCCCATCTCATGAACATTCTCTCCTTTTTTTCAGACAGAACTCTAGGCAATGTCTTTGCTAAAAAATTGCATTTCCCAGACCCTTTTCATATGGAGTATATCCAATGTAATATAAGATTTGTTCAAAAGGACTTCTGGGAAAGCTATCATTGTCCTTCCATCTAGTGATGGCTAGAATTCCAGCAGTTCTAGCTGAAGAATCCAGTCTCCAGATTTGGGACTGTGAAGGAAAGGTTAACGAAGTTTCAGCTCCCTAATAGTTTGTTGGAGCTGGACTATCTTCTACTTATATTATCTCCCAAACTCTGGTCACATAACAAAGTCTTCATAGTTTATTTCTCATACATGTACACTTCTCAAGGCTTAAAAAAATTAAAAATATTCCTGAAATTAATTACTACATCAAAATTTATGAACTGTTTTTCAGTGTCTGAATAGAAAAACAGGCAAGAGCAAACTGCTCTTTGAAGTTAATAAATGCTTTGCAATGATCAAATCCAAAGGCCTCCCAGAATTCTCAATTTGTTCAACCTTTATGTAGCATTTCACACTGCTGATCATGCCTTTAATCTTGAATATCTGCTTTCTTTTCCTTTTTATGACACAGTGTCATAGACAGTAGGATAGAATTGTCTTGCTCTTCTAGTTTTTTGAAAACTTTTAAATGGCTATTCTTCCTCCATTCATCCCCAATTTTGGTATTTCTCAAGGTTCTGTCTTCATCTCTCTTCTCAGTAGACTCAATCGCTCCCTTATTAATCCTATTAATGTTAATGACAGGCATACCTTCCATTACTGGAGAGGAAACTCCTGGGACAGAGATAAACATTTTAGGCTATATAATAGGGATAATAGATGCTAATTGGAATGGTATAAGAATTTAAAATTTTAATTTTTCATTTTAAAGCTAATATTTCTCCTTTAAAAAATTAAAATATAACAAATACAAATCTCCTTGGGAGATTATCCCCATTTCCCTCCCCAAAAGTAACCACTGCTAGTAACGTAGTATGAATTTATTTATATATTTTAATGTAAATTTTATAGTAGTAAACATACCATTCTGGAATTTATGTTTTTATTCAACAAAATGTTTTGAGATTTTTCCATGTTAGAACACACAGTTCTCCCTCAGGTAATAGCACTTACACAGTACTAGTTTTGGTGGCAGAGTATATAAAAGAAAAGCTTAAGATGACTTGCAGGGCTTAAACTTTGGCGAGGATCCTCATGCAGTTTGTCAGAGTGATGCCAAAATTGAAATTATGCTGATGGTGGTAAAAGTAGTTTCTTGGCTTTCTGGTCTTTGAACATACTGAATATTTTCTATGGATTTTGGGGTGGCTGCATATAAACAATGGTCTTAGCACACCACATATGAATTGACAATGGTAGTGAGTGTCCACTACTCAGTCTTGAACACCTAGGGATAATGGTTGAGTCATCAAATCAAAAAGTCCTTATATGATATTTCACCTTGTTCCCCAGTGGTTGAATTTCTTAGGTTATAGACTTTATCAATAAGGAATGCTCATTTATAAATTCAACTACCGAGAACAGTGACTTAGATATCTTTAAGAACTAAGATGATATCTAGCAATAAGTTTTATAGAAATCTCCAAGTCTAATAAGACAGTTATGAGACTTAGAGGCAAGGAGTCAACTACTCTTGGCTATTAGCTACACTGTTTAGTGCATCAATGGTAAATGTGAGTGTGATGTAAGGTTACAGTGAAGATTGCCATGTAGGAAGTGTGCTGCGCACCAGACACCAAGTTTTGGACCTGAATCTTGATTTTGGACTTCCCAGTCTTCACGGCTGAGAAACAAATTTTGTAGTTTATAATCTACCCAGTTTATGGTATTTTGTTGTAGCAACCCAAACAGACTAAGATATACAGCAAATAGACATATAGCAAATGAGCACCTACAATGAACCAAGTGCACTTATAATGAGCACCTACAATGCACCTACAATGCATCAAATATGCTAAGCGATTAGAAATAGCAATAGTTTTCAGAAGGTAAGAAAGGTTTCCAAAAAGAGATAGGATTTGAAAAGGACTTTGAAGGAAAGGTAGAGGTTCCATAGGGAAAGTGGTGATGGGGAAGTTTGAGGTACTAGAAATGGTCAAGGTCTTAATTCACAGATAAATTATAAAGTGCTTGATGTAAGGGACTATACATTCTCTTAATCTTTGTGTTGACCCCACTGTTGTACAACCTTTACTTTATCCCCATCACAAAACATGTAGCATGGTCATCCTTAATAAATGAGTTGGGCTAGGTGTGGTGGCTCATGCCTGTAATTCCAGCACATTGGGAGGATTGCTTGAGGCTCAGAGTTCAAGACTTAGTCTCTACAAAAATGAATAAGTAAGTAAATAAATAAATAAATGAAAAATTTAGCTGGGCATGATGGTGTGTGTCTTTAGTCTTAGTTACTCAGAAAGCTGAGGCATGAGTATTGCCTGAGCCCAGGAGCTTGAGGTTACAGTTAGTTATGATCACGCCACTGCATTCAATCCTGGGTGACAGAGAGACTTTGTCTCTAGAAGAAAAAAAAAATTGAGCTGTGTAATCGAGCAAGTGTTACATAATGCCAATGCAGAGGTTCTCAAACTTTAGCATGTATCAGAATCACCTGAAGGACTTGTTAACACACAGACTGCTGGGCCCTATTCCCAAAGTTTTGGTTTCCCTAGGTTTGAGATAGGGGCCTATAGGGAACGTGTAACATCTTTTTCCCCCATCACTAAGTTCATGGTTGGGGCTCCTTTAACAAAAGACAGGTTAACAAGAGAAAACATACACATTTATCTAATATAAGTTTTATGTGATGTGACGTGGGAGCCTTTAGAAATGAAGACCTAAAGAAACAAGGACAAGTATATTTTTAGAGTGATGAGTGGACAGCCACGGGGAAGTATGATTGGACAAAGGAGGTATGCTCTAAGGGTAATAAACTATGGGGAACTCATAAAGATCTGTTTGTTAAGATTCTTCTCTGTATTCCTGTTCTTCAGAGATAAGGATGTTCCTTTTCTGTGGCCATAGGGAGAACACCTCTGGACTGAAGGTCTGATGACATGCTTCAAGGCAGAAGGGTGGGAGAAGGTCAGAGAGTGATTTTCCAAGCTTTTTTGCTATCTTCTCAAATGCCAAGTTGCCATATTTTGGGGTAGCATGTCCTGTATCCCATCAGAGGTGACAACTGGCATATCTATAAAGTTCCCAGGTGATGCTCCTGCTGGTTCCAGGACCACATTTTGAGAACCACTGTTTTAGTGGAATTTATATATAACAACTGCTGCAGCATTTTTGTTTTCCCCAAGGAACCAGAATACTGTGACAATTCTTGTCAAACTTGAAGAATCTTCAAGAAATCCAATTCCATTTTGAGGGCAATAAATATGGGAAGGGACATATCTTACTTATCTTTGCACGACCTTTGACATATTACAATTGATGTTTTGCAATTAGTGGGGCTCGAAAATGTGATGCATTGAATACTAACTTGAATATTGAATAATCATAAGGTAAATATTAAGTTTCTTATTTAATCAACCCTTAATAAAAGGTAATGGATTACATTCCTGAATTAGAAAAATGTATAGGAAGAGGAAAATTAACTTAAGCTCATCAAGTCCATCAGCAATCTTCTCTCATGTTTGCCTTACGTATTTGTGAGTGCAGTACACAGAACTGAGTCCAGTGTTGTCTTGAGTCTTGATCATTATGTATATTTGTGTTTCTCTCAAATACAATATCCGATTAAACTTCTTAAGCTATAGACTTGTACTATATTGTATACGACATACTGAATGTATTGTAATACATTATATTACAATGTCATATTAGCATTATTCTGTATGCTAAGGGAGAAAGGTCAACAGCAAAGAAGGGGAGGTGGGGAGACAGGTTTAAAGCAGCAGAAGTGCTGTAACACTCAAGACTGTAAAAACTGTTTTATGCTGGAAGAAATGCAACCCAAAAGTTGTAGTAGTTTTTCAATACAATCAAGGCTAGAATGATCTTGGTCTGTGGACCTGACAGCATTCTCCGCTCCTGCCTCCAGCTGGGGCCAATGCTGCCTCCTGCAGAGCGCCAATGGGCCAAGCCTGCCCTAGACCTCCATTTCCGCCCAGGGAATCCGCACTAGTGCTCTTCCCGCCAAGGCGCGGGTTTCCGCTCCTCTGCCCGAGCGCAAGAAGACTGCGCATGTGCACGGCCCGTGCGGCTGGGAGCTTCTCCACGGCTCTCCGGACTTTGAGCCATGGCGGGGACGGAGGCCTGCCTGTTGCGCCAGTGCCCGCTGCTTCTGCCTCAGAACCGGGAGAAAACCGTGTATGAGGGATTCGTTTCGGCTCAGGTACTCGTCCGGTTGTTGCTAAGAGAGCCTCCCTCTCGTGGCGCAGCTCCGCCCGTGGAAGTCTGTGACCGGCGAGATTAGGGGCCGACTCGTGGGGGTTGAGAGGGGCGGCGCGGATCTCTCCCGGGAGAACAGAGGTTTGAGAACCGCTGCTGTTGCTGGAAGCCGGTTCCTTGCCGTCGCCCCTGCGCCAGGGCCCGGGTGGCCGCGCGGCCTCGGGGGCGCGGAGGTGGGCGGGGCCGGGGCCGGGGCCACGCCTCCTCGCGGCCGCTCGGGCCCCCTCCCTCCTGGAGTTTTGCTCTTTTCTCAACGTATGTCCCACAATTGACTGTGCTTTTTTTGGTAAATTTTGCCCTACCTCGATTTTAGCACTCTCCACCCCCACAAATGTTGGCAGTTCACCTGAAAATCTGGGTTAATTATATTCATGTTTCCAGTAGAAAAGACATTTTGGAGGAAAAGCTTATTTTGGCCCTGTGCTAAGTCATGTGTACCTGGGCAACTCCAGTTGCGATATTCTGTAAGAAATCTTGACAACAACGCAATTAATTGGCTTTGCTGATTCCAGTGGCCTCTCTTAAGGAGTTTATTACACATACTAACAAGTATGGGGTTTTGAAGTTTACAAGGTGCTTTCCAGGTACAATATCTCACTTAATTCTCAGCCCTTAAGGCAGAAGTTTTAAAAAATCATTATTCCCATTTTATAATTGAGGAAGTTAAGGTGTGGGAAGCTGGAGAGGTCAAGTAACTTGCTCATGATTGCTTCAGAATCCCTTAAACTCAGGCTGATTCCAGTCCTGGATTTTTTTCCTCTCCATTGCACCAAGGTAGGTTAGAATTTTGAGTATAGACTTTTCCTCTCTGACAGTTACACTCAACCCCATGCTCCCTCCCCCACCAGCACACACATTCTTTCAGAAGTGCCATATCCTAGGAATTACCACATGTTTTGAAGTCTCAAGACATATAATAATCTCTGAAAAATAATGTATTATCAAATCCATTTTCTAAATGAAATTTTTGCCGGTCCCTAAGTGTATTAGATGGTGTAGAATTAATCAGAATATTCTGTGCTAAATGAAAAATTATAGACAGTGCATTTGGGCTTCTCCATGTGCCCTCAAATTCATTGTGACCATTACAGAAAGTAGTGGTTAAAATTCATTATTACGTATGGAAAAAAATTAATCCACCTTTTCCTTCTCCAACTGTAAACTTTTGTCTTGAATTATCTACTTAAAAACGCGATTCACTTTTAGACAACATTTAGAAAAGTTGCAGAAATATTACTTAAGTTATCTTTTTCCCTAGGAATCTTGTTATAGCTAATTTTAGGCGTTTAAGGAAAATACTTTGTATCATATATGTCTATATCTGCTAAAGCTTTTTAGAAAAAATGTGCAGCCATCCGAATTGAGATTAGGTGAAATTTTCCTAACTGTTGCTGTAGTTAGAATTCTAATTTGTACCTGCCTTAAGTAGTTCTTCCAAATCCAGAGGTAGGCATGTGAGGTAGGCCTATTCAGAATTACTATAATGGGTTCAGTGAAGGGCAGGTGACTCAATTAAAAGCATTGAGAATTACTCCTAGGACTTTTGCTAGGACCATTGGCATAAAAAGCTCTATTTTTGCTACAATTGGATGTAAACATGGAGCTGTGAGGGGCTTTCACATGGAAAAAAAAAATCCTGAGGATGAAGCCACCCAAGAGCAGATTATAGAAAGAGGAGGATAACATTGTTGGAAACCCTTGGATCTTAGATTCAGCTATTCCTGAAACTATTAATAGAAGTAACCTGCCTAGGACAAATAAATTCTGTCCCCTGCCCACATTCTTTTTTTCCTTTTAAGCTAGTTTATGTTGGGTTTCTATAGTGTAGATTTGAAAGATAGGAACACATCCTCAATTTGTTTATGAACTTCAAGGGGCCAAAGGCCTGATCTTTTTAACTTTACATCTCTTAGCATGGTACCTGGTAAGACAGAGGGTCCTCAAGATGTGGTGATTGATTCATTCAATCTCACTTTCCCTGAGCACCTACAATGAGCTGAGCTAAGCACTGGAACTACAAGGAATAATCAGACATAGTCCTAGCCCTCGAGGAGTTCTGAATTTAGTACAAGGAGGAGGTATGAAAATGAACACTTTATAATATAACTTGGGCTATAATAGAAATCTGAGCAAATTTTTGTGGGATTCCAGAGGGTTGGAGGTTTGGGGAGATGTGATGTGTCAAGGCTTCTCAGAGGAAGTGACACCCAAGTCTAATTCTTAAAGAACAAATAGAAGTTCCTAGGCAGAGAAGTGGGCATGGGGAAAAGGTGTCCCAGGGGTGAGGTATTCCAGGTGGAGAGAACAAGATTATAT